AATGATGAAATCGGTCTGGCAAAGTAGCTTCCTCCTTTTAAGCATTGGACGAGTCAATTCCCAATTGCACACATGCGTGAGTGTTCCTTTGACCATGGATTTGTCTGCACAATCGCATACATGCGTCCTGTCCCAGGAAGGCTGGAATCGCCTCGAGGACATACAGCACACAGAATGCTCGAGCTACAGTGACCATTCGAGATTGACTACCGACAGACATGACCATACTATTTTAGACTCCTCAAAGATCGCCAAGCATGTGCCTCCTTTCGACATGAAGGTTACGTTAACCCTTAAAGGGCAGATGCTCAATGCAACGAAGTGTGCCGGCATTCGCTCCGTGTCGACTGTCGGTTGGAAGCCCAACTTTTCCCGGCTTCATGTCATTCACCCTCCCCTCACTTCACATCTGAATGGTGCTTCTAGTTCCCTTGGGTTCCAATCGATTGCGTCCGATAGTGTCGGCAGAAGCGCTGTAGACGTGGGACTTTTGCTGCTTTCTGCCGTTGTCACGGCGTGAATACAACTGCATGTAAAGAGACTGAACCGTTCTACTCTGTCGTACCAGAAGGGAACAATGAACGAGAAAGTTGGCTCAGCCACAGTTGACAGGTGGCTGTTAATTATCCCATTCGTTGAAGGGCCAAACGGCCGACTGTAAACCGTTGCTAAAGGGATTAGAGTCAGCGGTGACTTTGCTTGGCCGAATGGAAAGACCACGCAAACGAGTGAGATTAGAGGCTTTTACCATTGGCCTCATTACGGGACTGAGGAGAGCTCACAATTTAACGTTATGCGGAAAAAAAGAGGAAAATGTTCTAAAATGAATGAATAAATAAATTGATTGAGATTGTTTGCTTATTGAGCAGTCCAACAGAGCCGATTTTGAGAAGTGAATATAATTGCTTGTTGCCAAACGCACCGAGAACGTAAATGTGTAGGTAATAGCTTGTTTGGGTTCGAGTAGTTGGGGGGCAGCAAAATGAATAAAATGAATAATTTTAATAGATTTGATTAAGCAAAAGTTGGAAAAGTAAACGTACTATTTTTAAAAATAAAATTTATTGAAAGAAAATAAGATGAGAGGACAGAATTCAAAGAGATCTGAATCAATTGATAAGTATTTATATCGTAATAATTGCAAATTAATTCATATTTTTCACTACTTTTAGTTTTTCCATTCAATGCCTTCTATTATTACTAGGATTAAAATCACTTTTAAGTATGCTTTACTGATTTATTTCCTTCTTTACTTGCACCAGCAGACTCACTACTACATCTACTTCTACTTAATTTCCCTTCAGATCAAATCTTGGTTTTTGTCGAGACTTTCTAATACATTTCAATTAGATGTGCTTGTGATTTGCTAGCATTTAATTTTAATCTTAAGCACTGTAATATTTGTCTTTTCAGTTATTCTCT